AAAAAAAAAAAAAAAAAAAAAAAAAAAAAAAAAAAAAAAAGAAGCGGAAAAGAGAAAAATACGAAGAAGATATGAAACGAACAGTAGGAAATTCACTCAACGGTGGATGTTTTGATCGACTGTTCGTGGGAATGTGGTGCGCCGCGAGTGTAACAGAAAAATGTGTCTGTCTCGCCGTTATACTCACGATAAGTATGTGTATACATGAGTCGCGCGCATACTGCATGGTCAAAATGAAGAGAGAAAGAGGGGAGAGACAGTCTAGAGACCTTGCATACAGGCCGTTTCTAAAATAGATGATCAAACTTTAAAAGCATACAGTATATTCAAATTACTAATTCTCAACCTTTTGTAAGTGACAGATTTATGAAAAAAAGAATTACTATCCTTTACTAAACATTGTCCTTCACAGATTTATGAATTGTAAAAGAGAAAAAACATTAACATAAAATTATGAAAAAATATACGCAACTGCATAGATAAAAAAATATTCTTTCGTTACAATTTTGAATTTTTACCTCGTTGAAAGATTAATAATTTTTTTTTGTTTAAATATTATTTATATGTTACTGTCCATTTAACGTATTATACATTTTGAAGTTTCGCAAGCATGAATGAAAATTAAAAATATTTTTTTTATATTATTAGATCTCCATCTTGCTTTATCGACGCACGTAAATATTACTTATATTGAAAACTGACGCACATTTAAATATTCTTACATTGTGACATTCGTGCATTCAGGATTTCTTTTACTGTTAATATTTTCATACAAATATTTACACTTGGATTTGCAGATTGCAGTAGATCATTTAACAGTACATTTGTGAAATATTTCTCTATAAATATCTATGAGAATCGAGCAAAAATTAAAAATATTTTTTTAATGCTACAGAATCGCTTACCAATAAGATATATTTCTCTTAATCGGTAATATATTTTTAAAAATCAATATTACCTTAAATATTCTAAGAATTTTGATGCGAAATGAAAATAAATGCTCTAATTATTAAGGTCTATTGCTGATTTTAAATTCATAAGGATAGATAGAAAATATAATGTCAGAAGGAGCAAAATGCGTTCATCACGTTTAATCACATATTTTCTCCAGGAACAAAATTTAATCAGAATTTCACAGATTCGCAGTCTCTTAGAGAATTCAAAGAAAACTAAGTCGTGATATTGACCATTTGATTAACATCTCCTATAAATATACTACGAACAAAGATACTTCTAATTTGTCAAAGTACAGTAATTATATTTTTAAACATATTGTCGTTAAAAGGCGACGATCAAAAAATTGGTATTAAGCAGGCTAAATCATCTTGGAATTCCTCTGATATTTATGAAACTGTCCCCACAGACAAAACGTATAAATTTCAACGTGGCAGTCAACCAACGTGTTAATAAAGACAATGTCCTGATTTCAAAGTATCATGAAGAGACAAGTAGAACAATACGAGTGGAATCAATATGTGTGCACTGTTAGATTAGTATATATCCACGAGCACGTTTAAGGTTCGTCGAGTTCAACGAAAAAGAAGTTCCTAGACTTGCTGCTGGCCCAAAGCAGCAGACGAGGACTTTCAACCGGTGCGGACAATCGTCTGACACAGTTTTGTGGCTTCGTTTGAAAGGCGAAAGGAATGTTACGAGAGACGATTTTTGTTATCTCGTATTGGAAGAAGAGGAAACGAAAACACAACGCGTTTTTAACGATTCGTTTCAGCGATCGCTATATAGGAACAACATGAACAGCGTGAAACACAGTTTATAATTAAAGGATCTTCGTGATGTTCCTTGGAGATCTCCCTGCTGCAACCTCCTTAACTCACTCGCGAGTGGAAAACTCATGGCCGGCATGAATCAGGCATGACATTGGGTCTTATAAACTTTAAATCCCAGTGACACGCACGTACACGCTTGCGCGTCTATACATATAAGGTGACCCAGGTTTTTCTTCTTTTTTTTTTTTTTCGTACAAATTTTATTAACACTAGAACTACCGAAGTAATCAAAATAACTAATTCGTAATTTTTTTTTAGATATACCACAGATGCAAAACAGTGTATTTTTAGAGGTTTAAATGACTTTTTATAAAATACACGAACAAAAGTTTGTGTATTCCATTGTATTTCTATTTTTCTTACTTTAGTATCTCTGATGAAAATTCTATGCTTTAGTCCTTGGCAGTTCTAGTGTTGAAGACTGTGGTACACGGAAAAAAACAAAACTGTGTCATGTGAAATATTTTTTTCAAATATAACTGTAACTGTAACTTTGAAAGGTTATACACGGTTATATATAATAAAAGTAATTTAGACACAGTTCAATGTATTTTTTCAACTAACGAGTCTCGTTATTCCAAATTCAGAAGAATTACTAGTTCTCAAAATTTATGTTTCCAGCAGTCTTTATTTTGTCTTGTCCAAATTTACTAACTTATATAAGGAAATTTTTATTGTAGAATAAATGTGAAACACGAAATATCATTACGAATCGAAACTATAGATATACATATATAACGAACATTGAATATATGTAATTGAAATACGAAATCATTTGTCTTGACCTTTCTTTATTTTCTTTTGAACAATGTAAACTGTAATATGCCAGGGAAAATATAGAATTTATGAGCTGTTTTTTGCTACATGACATTTTCGTCTTTGAAATACAGTGACAAACTTCCTACAGAAAAACCTGTGACATCCCGTATAGATAGGTAATTGTACAATGCCAATCACACACACCCACCGACTTTTGTAAAGTCAAAACTTTCTCACAAAGTGACATTTACATATCAGCACAAAATAAATTATTCTTCGAATCTACGTAAATTTGAAAAGAAATTATGTCTGTTTCTAAATTTGATTCAAGCAAAATTTCAGGACACACGTCGATCGAATATCTTTTACCCTTATCCCTACATATTTTTTTTGTAAATCCTACACGTAGGTACGTATACATAAGGTGCTCCGAAAATCGTGATACAAGTGACATTAGAGAGAACGTGGACAACTTCAGAAAATACAAAAGACAAAAATAAAAAGAGCAAAAAAAGAAAAAAATTTGACAATTTGTCCCTTGTCGACTGTACATTCACATCCACTCCGGGCACTAAACAAGTTCACGTTCGCTCAGTTGACAAGCTGTCAAACTGAATTTTCTCGAAAAACGCAATCCCGGTTTTTATATTAATTTCAATTACACATTTTTTTTTACTTTGCTCGATCTTTGAGATACACCATATACATAGCATACATCCGATTTTTTTGGCTCTTCGGTAATTACGTAGAAATAACAAAAAAGGTATCGTATAAACATATATAAATCGTTCGGAACTAGATAATAAAAAAATCGTACGAAATACAAAAGGTGTGGCAACAAACTCTCAGTCTGTACGATACAAAACGAGAACAGGTTGACAACCAGTTATTAACACTACATCGAACCGTTTGTCGTCCTTGTCACACGACGAATGATGTTAAAAAATTGAATTGAACTACGTCTCATTCAATTTTAATTCTCTGCCAATTGTTATTTCTTCGACATACTCTCCCTAATTTTCGTTCCCACTTAGGTCTCATTCTTAAATTCCCTCCCACTGGATTACCAATCTGTCGCGTTCAACCATCACGCGTAACTAATTGTACATAATACTCGATGTACTTTTTCCTTCGAGGTTCACCATAAAAGTCTATCGGCACGAGATTCCACCTATCAATTCCAATTATCCATTGCTTTCGCGTCTTGTATATATATATATATATATATATTTTTTTTTTTAACTTTCGAACGACCCACGTTTGCATGACATATTTTTGATATTGATACACGTAGGACATAGCGAACAGATTTCGTTTGGAAAAAAAATCTGGAACACCCTGTATAAACAGCAATGAGAGAGAGAGAGAGAGAGAGAGAGAGAGAGAGAGAGAGAGAGAGAGAGAGAGAGAGGGAGGGGAGGGGAGTGCCGCGCGATACACAACACCGACGTCGACACGAACGATCGAGTACTGCCCACGGGAATTCTCCGATATATAGGTTAACCCGGGCGACTTCTGCTCGCGACATTACGCGGTACCGTTAAATATCCATTGGGCAACTTGGCGTTTGACATCCTGCGAGGCCTCCGTCACCAATCTTCCGTCTCGATTCTTCAGATACACACATCGAAGCAGATAATGCGCGGCTATACGAGTCTTACAGAGAGCGAAGAGAGTGGGCTCACTGATCACTCACCAGTGCGAAGAAATTCGTGTGGCAGTCCTCCAGGCTAGCGCCGTTCGTTTGATGCGACGGATGCGTCATGGCTTCTCCATCGTACGGCGTACACTCATTAGCAACACTTCTCGCGGCGGCGCGCCTCTCTCAGGCCCCGAAAAATCACACGGCGAGGCCGCTATTATTCGAGAACATTTAGGAGGGTTTTCACTTCTCAATGGCGACCGTAAAATGGCGGACGATGGGAAACAACAAGCGCAGCCGCCCGAGGCGACCCCTACCGATCACTCGCGCAGTTCTACTCGACGTAGAGGAAGAAGATGGCGGCGCTCATCAGGCATGGTTCGCTCGTCAATCCTTTGAAATGTTCACCCACTATCCTTGCCGTGAACACGGTCAGTGTAGAACACTTTCTTTTACGTACACCTGTCGATCGTTATCATTGTCACACGGTACACCCTGTCGGGAGCGAGTAAATTCAAGTTATATGGTACGCGCACTAACGAGAGTACCGTCATTTTACAGACGAGCCTGCGATACGATGTAACTCGTTTTAAAAGCAAGAAACGCCCTTACGTGCCGACTCGCACATACGACGACGAAAAGAAGTCTCTCGCTTGCAAGGGGTAAGTAATTCGATTAGATTACGGACGCGCAACGACGAAATATTCGCGTTATATCGCGCGGATGGCTAACTGGCTGAGGACACACCGTGGCCATATTGCCATTTACCCCCTCCTTTTCACACACCGACCAATAAACTTTTGGATTTGACAGCTTCTCAGGGAAGAACAACGCGTTTCCAGCACCTCACCTTCTCGCTATTTCTTGCGCTACTTTTTCTTTTTTTTTTTTTTTTTTAAGTAGACACATGTGACTGGAGATGAAATTAACTGTTAGATATTTTTGAATGTTTCTGACGTTTACGATGCTTCATTTAAATGATTTTGTTCTCTGTATGCGACTTGAATTTAGAGAGAGTATGTTGAAATTTTCGTATTATGTATATTTCGTATGTTTGTTACTTCCACTGTCTAGAAGAATGATTTAAATCTGAAACTATGTACTGTTAAAAGTCGGAAAATTATCTTGCAATCATTCTTTTGGATAATAGATATATCTATGAATCAAATCTATTATAATTTTTGAATTTTTATGTTTCAATTTCAACGAGCAGAAAGATTTTAGTTGTTTTAACAAAGATTTCAGCATGAGATAAGAATTTATAACATTGACAACAGTTGTTTCATATTTTTCTCAAATTAGAGAAATATACGAAATGAATTGAAAATAATCCAAACTGGATCCTGTGCAACTTCTTTTCTCAGATACGTGCGATTAGGGATAGAAATTAATTTCCTAATTTGCTTTCGTTTGGACAAAAAGATTTTTTTTATTATTATTTTAAAATAATAATAAAAATTATTCTAGAAAATGTATTGAGATAGACGTTTCTTGAAAAATATCAATCGAATTACACATTTAGGAAAACAATACGCTTGAAACTTTCATCTTACAAATCTAATATTAAGTTGTCTGAAACGTAAAATTTGAAACATATACGTTACTATATATATATATATATGACATTATATACGTCATCTCGTAGTGTCAACGCACTTAAAGAAATCTGCTCAGTATTTTCGCGGAAGTGCATTACTAGGTTTGAATTGCTAAGTTCCAAAATTAAAATAATAAATTTATGTTAAACGAAGCATTCACTTCGAGAATGATGCTTTGATATTAAATCAATTTAGCTGAATTCGTTTCTATCTTTACGTGTGACATAACAACTAGTATCAATCTTTTTTCACGTGAAATTCTCAGTTAACTATAGAATAAAAAATTTTCATTCGTTGCAAGATACACAATGTTTGCAAACGATATTTTGTTTTTAACAAAGCGTTCCTATGAAATGAAAAGAAACTACTAGTTTGCACTTATTTGCTATAATTCATCAAACCGAGCATTTTTTCTTTAAAGGGATACAGGATATTTAATTTTTATCTTGATTTATCTTCGTGGAAATCTAACTAGTTATAGTTAAATTTAAAAACCAAATAACGAAAAAATTTCACTTATTCCGAAGAAACGCCATAATTAAATGTTTCGAATATTCATGAAAATAAGCATACGTTCAGATGCAACGAGGAACAGAGTATCCACGATGAAAACAAAATATGAAAAATGACTTAGTTCCTGGATATTTTAGTTCTCCGGACTGTGCCAGTTTTTATTGAGAACACCTGTTTCGAAGACCAAGTTTCACCGTCCTTGTAATTAACATTGACAAACTATTGCCCGTCTCTCGCTACATAGATCAGCATTTATGCGTAATAAAAACAAACAAACAAACAAATAAACCTTTGCTCTAGTTTATGCAAACAACCACTATATTTCGAATTTTACATTTAATAGTGCCTAAAAACGAAGCATATATGAAATACGTAAATTCGCTGGTTTGGCGCATGGACAAATCATCGTGTTCATATTGTTACAGGCTCGTTCGATCTTTAAATGCGACCAAGTGTTGGTAAGAATCTCAGCAATTCTGGTGAGGCATAATTTTCGGTAGAATGTTGAAAAAAAGAAATTTTCCTAGTCACGGGGTTTTTGTACGGTTCGTTTCGTTCCTGGCCCATAGTGGCCATAACTGTATCCTGAGGAAATACAACTGAGGGCACCACCGTACGGTAGTTGGACATCGATCTTCTCCCCTCCTCTCCGTTCCACCTCCTCTAAGGGAAACCTCCCTTGCCGCGCTTCATCCGGTAATCGGAGTCTTTTACATTTACACGGTACGAAAAGTTTGGCGCGAGTCGTGTCGGGATAATCTAGAAGAGGCGATATTGATTTTCAACAAGCGAAATCAATGACTATCGGCAAAGATAGTCATTGGGAAAACCTGTGTGTTACCAACGGGGGCTGCGTCCCCTGATAATGTCTAAAATTCTTGTGCAACTATCGAAACAATTTCTATACCAGAGCTGATCATGTCGAATTGATTTGTAATGGAGAATTGTAATATCCGAATTGATTTAATTACGGAACAAGTAGTTGCGCGTCGCATATATCCTTGTATAAAAAAATAAATAAAACAGCCTTCTCTTTTTCTTTTTAGTACGTTATTTCGTTTATTTTACTTTCGTGACGATGAACTCTGAACGTTATTAAACTTTCGGTTCGAGAATTGAGAACGAATGCCACGATTTCGATACGGGTTCAGTTTGAAAACATAGCCTTACAATAGAATTGAAACTTTGATTGTTCATCGTTATGTATGTACATACGAATCGCGTTTGGACTTTCGTTGAATGACTGACATTTACGATTTCATGATTTTCGTTTGCAATTTGTTGACTACTGACGAATTATATCGACGTGGATAATAAGTCGAATATATTTATCAGATGTAATAATAATATTATTAATATAATAATAATAAATAATAATTAGTCGAATATATTTGTCAAATAATTATGGAAATTGCGATGTTTATTTTCTTACGAAAATACAACTTTTTTACGAAATAGGAAAGCTAGGTCCCGCAAAATCGATATTTTCAACATTCGGATACGGATGAATCAAAAAACGATGGAACTTTCGAGATGATCCTTCAATTGTAACGAATGGATTCAATTTCTTTTTTTTTTTTTTTTTCATCAAATTTATTGTCATCCGATAGATTGATGCGTGAATAAATAAAAAATCCTCAATTACTCAATAATAATTCCTTTTTATTATTTTTCACCGTGGCAACAGATGAAATTTATCTTATTCCAATTGTTTCAGATTTTTGAGATATCAAAAAGAGTACAAACCGCCGGAAGATTTATACAATAGAATAGACAAAATTTGCGAGCAGCAACAAATTCCCACGGCTTATGAAACAAAACTCGACGATCCGTTGCAACGTTACAATCTTTTCTTAGCATGCGAGCAAGAGTTTCAACATCCGATAACGAACTCCGTATTGTACAGCATCCGAACGATCAGTAAGTTTTAAAACTTCCAAGAGTTTTGCCAGTTTCTTTGAGTTTTCGAAATTTCATTCAACAAACAATTTTGTTCGTTCTTAAGTGAGAAAAAATATCTGCGAAAGTTTTAAATTCTAGGCTACGAACTTTTCTGAATTACTCGTCTCATTTTTTAGTAATAAACGACAGTTGTGAATTATTTGTTAAAGCCCAAAGCAAATTACATTTATCCATCTGGTTTGTTCTTATTAAATTATCATTTGATTCTTACGAGTGTGAATTGTCGTGTTTCACTAAATTGTAAAATGTATTCTATATTCTAGGTGATTTGAAAAAATACTACAGAAAGCACGTTAGTAACATAACACCGTTGGACGCTATGCGTTCTATGGAATTGCCAAAGAATCTGCATATTAACTATGATTATGTGAGATTCCATCCTGGTAAGTGTGATATTAAAATATTTTTAAAAACAGTATCAGCTGGTACACATATCGATAGTAAGATGTGCAAAAAAAAAATGTATTAAACGTTTATCTACATAGAAATTATTGCATTGTCTAAAATTATATCAATGTCACAAAGAACTAGGGCTAGATTTTAATCCTAAGTCAAGTATGTACAATGAACTGCTTCTTAGGATCCTAGCTGCTACTTTAAATTAAACAACATCATTTTCCAGATACGGATACGTTGTTCAATGGAAAAACAGCATTCCCAAAGAGCTCCACTCTGGTAACTGGATTGAAATACAAGAAAAAATATCAAGGGCACGTTCAAGAGAATCCTTTCTTGGAAGATATGCTTAAAATTTAGAAACATCAATTAGATTGTACAAAAAAAAAAAAGAATGAATAAATTCGCTTTTAAATATCATGGTAATTGTTAATTCAAATACGCTTCACTTTTCAGTTTGACTGTTTCTTTATTTGTTACAAGCAAAAATAAAAATAAAATTATTTATTTACGAAGTGGCCTTTTTATTTCTATCTCTTCCGCCAAAACGATAAAGTACAATTTTCAGTAAAATTATCTGTCGGGCCTTTTTATACTCCGTTCATTAATATGATTTTCCTTTGTCTTTGCAAATTGTTCTTCGTTGTACGACAATCGACAAAGTGGTAAAAGGCGAAGGGATGGTTTAACGTGTCCTGCTCTTCAGTTTCATCAATCGATCCATCAAATTCACGCTAGCAACACGACTCCAAGACAACGAGCAGCTAATTTATTCGCGCTTCGGCGAGGATCCTTGCGATACGTAGCAGTGACAGTAACAATTTGATTGCAAGAGATTATGCCAGGGATCGCGAGTGCCACAGGCCTCTTAGAAGCGCGCATTCGGCCAACCTATCGGCCGAAACCGAAGGTATTTATCGAAAATAGTCGGCAATAAGTCAAGTCAATAATAAACAGGTTATTTCATTCTGATTTCGTTTTCATTAATAAACATTTCTATTTTCATTCGTTGGTGAAAATGAATTTTAGAAAGGTGTGCATCATAATTACATCTTTTTACATTTTCTACAGAAAGTCTAAAATTGAACTTACACCGATGATAATAAATAAAAACATATTGATTACAATAAGGCTTACGATGCGATGGTTTTATTTCAAACGTGCATGTGAACGAACAACAGGTTTACAATTGAATTGTTTTATCGTGATTGAAGTGTGACTGTCGCATGACCATAATGCCATTCTATTATCATTGCCTCTATAATTAGATAAACATGTTATAATTAGATCGTGATCACATCTGCGAGCAGATTGCATTGCTCCTGATTACATTGTAATCAAATTGTAACTGTTTCAACTAGTGCTGTATTAAATTAATTTTTTCGAGGGCTCGTAGCCCCGCTGTACAATTAAATAAATATCAAATGTACCTTGCGCGATTTACGTGTCATTGTGAATAAAATGATCACGGATGTAAACACAAATGTATTTCCATTTGTTACAGCACGTGGAACTTGCAGGTTTCACCAGACCAGCGCCCTTCATTCTCAGACCTTTCTCCGGTCTTTTCAATCCTTATCCTTATGGATGTTCTATACTGTGCAATCATCCGGCAGATTGCGAAGCGAGAGAAGTTCTCAGACGTGCCAAAGATACATGGGTAAAAGTTGCGCCTTTGGACAAGCTTATTCTTTTGAAAAAAAAAAGAAAAAAAAAAGACACGACGTTGAAAGAAACGCGTTTTGTATACCACACAGGCAACCGAGGGAAAAACTCTGTTGCTACCAGAAGAAATGGATATGATTCGAGCGAGTTTGGTTGCTGCAGGCAACAATGCCACCGACGTAGGTGGAAACACTGGAGCTGAATTGATTAATGATGCCTCCACCGTCCCCGAGGAATTATTTCGAAAATATACGGAGACTGACTCGAGACCTTTGACCCCTGCACCTACGCTCGCCAGCGGTCCTCCTTTGACAAATCGACCGACTCAGGAAGAGTTTCCGGTGACCTGCGATCCACGAGAACGTACCACGTTAATTCTCGATCTTAGAACCAATTCGCAAAAGCAAATGGTGTGTAATTTCCGATGCTTCTATCAAAAGGGAGCTATCGTATTCGGCGTCTTGTAATTAGCAGAATATATCTATAATTAAACTACAATATAATAATATAATAATATACAATATACAATATAACATATAATTAAACTATGATAGAACTACCAGAGTGGTCAAAACGACCAATTTATAATTTTCTATGGGAAATATTTTTTTTTAGATAATCGAGTGATTTTTGATCAAATATGATTGACAGAAGTTTGCGCCCTTTATTCGTATTATTCATTTCTTCTTGTATCTTACTTACGTTTTAATTTCTTTGCCACAGATATTATATATATTTGGTCGTCGGTAGTTCTAGCGTTAATTTGTATCTCGGAGATCAAAGATCCAAGTTAAGGAAGAAAACAATATGAAATTCCCTAATTGCTAATTACGATCGAGGGAAATTGTGCTTATTCATAGGAAAACGAAACGCTGTCTTGGCACGCGTTGACTTTAGAACCACCGCCAACTCATCGAAAAACTGAGATTTTCGTTTGTAAACCGAGCTCGAGGCGTACGATGCGCACACCGAATCCAGCGGACGTTCCCGATGCGTTCCCAAGCATAGACGCATGCGATGAATCGGTATATTTACGAATTTCGGGATTGATTTACAACAGTGAGGGACACACAAGGCCCCATTGTCAATTTGTTTTAGAATTCCATGGAGGAGGGAAAAGTTGTGGAGCCACGTAAAGAAGTGACGGTAATTCGTAGAAGGGGGAAACGATTGCGTAAAGGGAAACGCAGGAGAGGATCCGGCTACGGGCAGCAAACAGAAGTTCGCGATTTGTTCGAACCAACCGATACTCAAATTTCACATATAGGTGATGGATCTAGAAGAACGTCGTACGTAACGATTATTTTATATTATATTTATATTATATTTTATTTTATTTATTGTATTATATTTATATTTTATTTTATATATTGTATTATACTTATATTACATTTTATTTTATATATTTATATTATATTTTATTTTATACATTGTATTATATTTATATTATATTTTATTTTATACATTGTATTATATTTATATTATATTTTATTTTATACAGTGTATTATATTTATAATACATTTCATTTTATACATTGTATTATATTTATATTACATTTTATTTTATACATTGTATTATATTTATATTATATTTTATTTTATACATTGTATTATATTTATATTACATTTTATTTTATACATTATATTATATTTATATTATATTTTATATATATATATATTTTTTTGTTTTAAATTGAAACATTTCAATTATTTTCTTCTTCTTTTTAATAGGATCCATACAAACAACAGTGAAGCAGAGAATTTAGCAACCACTCCTAAAAAGAGCTCGGCCATGAGTAACACACCTTCCATGATACCTTCTAGTTTCATTGATCCAGATATATTGAAGCATTTGTGCAGAGAATTAGACAGCGATAAAGTGGAAGCGGAATTTTCAATCAGAGTAAGCTAATAAAGCGAGTATTGGAGGGAACTTGTAATTGTTGAAGCTGATCTGACTTTTTAGAGGAAAATCGCATTCGAGGAAGCTCTGAGAGTGAAGGGAGAGAGCTACTCGCACTCTAGGCGATCGCAAATGTTTTCAAATCCCGCGCTGGTGGACACGCCGCGCGTGTTTTCCCGCCAAGCGGCTCGTTTCGAAATTCTCGACAGCCAGAGTCTGCACGGTAAGCAACTCCGATAAATTTGGGCTAATCAATATAAGTAAATCAATTAATTAATAATAAATCGTTTAATAATAACAATGTATATTATTATTTAATAATAATAGTTTGATAATAAATCAATTTTATTAATAATAATAATTTAATAATAAATAAATAATTATTAATTTAATAATTAATAATAATAAGTCAATTTTTTAATAATGTATATTAATAATAATAATTTAATAATAAATCAATTTTTAACAACACTTTCAATTTACATTGTCTTGGAAAAACTAAAAAAAAAATTTCTACAATAAGTTATATATATTTGATCTTTTATCAGGAATATCCTCTATCGAAATAATATTGTTTCGCTCAAAATCGTTAATTATTAAATTAATAATAATAATTTAATAATTATTTATTTATTATCAAATAATAATATGCATTGTTATCATTGATCTTCGTCAGGATTAACAATTCTGGATTATTTAACGAAACACGTGTTCGTCACCTCGGGCAGGAAGTTGATTTTCGGACGAGTGTTCAGCAAGTTTCAAGAGGACACGATGGGAGGTGCTCGATGCATCTCGCCGAACAATATTTTCGAGGCTATTCAGGACATGATTGGGAAACCTATGACTCAAGACCAGGAGGCGTATCTGAGTAACACGATCGGCGAAATTAAGGAATCGTTGAATTTCAGAACTTGGTGCGGTTTGTGCGCGGCGGTCGAACGACTATTGTGCCCCCTTTCTTCGAAAGAAGTCGATCCAGCCACGTGGCTCGAAAGGGTGGATTTCGAGAGCTTAGAGCGAAGACTAAAGGCAGCTAACGTGGATCCGAAACTGGCTCAGTTTTTAAGAGAAATTCGTGAGAAATGATTCGTGAAAATATCGCGATTCTTTCTCATTTTAAAACTGTAAAAATATCGATTCACTTCTTTCTAATTTCCGTAGTTTGAGTAACGTCAGTAGCATTAATCAGAAGATAAAGAAAATACCGAGATTTCAAGCAGTCATTTAAATAAATTTATATTTTTAAACTGAATGTTATCTCTAATATATAAGGCATAGAATATATTATTGGCATTGTACTATTATATATGTGAACAAGAATAGAATTTTATATATGATAATGGAAACTTTTTTCGATTTAATATGGTTCATAAATTAAGTTGTTAATTGCACTATCGCATCGCTCGTCTTCGAATAGAGGGAGTGCTGCCATCTATCGGAATTTTCATTCTTATCCTTTTAGTTCCAACCAGAGTTGAGAGGTGCGTAGATGGCAGCACTCTCCACAACAAATTACTAACGCCACGTAGCGGTGAAAAGCTGGAACTAATCGCTGTCTCCATCCTTGTTAGACACTATTGCGTTCCTCATCTACGGATAATTCGTAGACAAGGAGAGCAATCGAGTGCGACAGAGACAGAAATAGCGATTAGTTCCACCGTATCGCCGCTACGCGACGCTAGCGTTTTAGGGTCTACAAAATTGACTAATAATTTTTATTTGGAAAAAAAAAAAAACAAAACACTAATTACCAGAATTAACTCAAGAATTTAATTTGCAATTGTTTCTATCAAATTAAGTCCGTAGTTTGTTTCATATGCGTCATTTAATAACGAAAATCGCGTGCTTAAACATTTACGAATTCTGCTATATAAATTGAAATTTTCGTTTAAGTAATATTTAATTTTCCGTAATTCTGTCGAATTCGAGTCTGAGTATGATTGTAATAGAAAATCCCATCCCATAACTCGATTTGACAAACGACAGCACTTCGTTCATTCTTAGACAGAAGTGTGGTTGCAGAAAAATTCGCCATTTATTGACGCTTGAAAATAAATACAATATAATAACTAGAAGATTTTCCCGAGATTTTAAGAAATCTACATTCAATTTACGAAGTAATAGAGGAACTTGTAGCAAAGTAATATACAATCGTTTTTTTGCTGTACACGCACCGTGGAAAATTCACTGACGTCAATTCACTTTCATTTTCGTCTAAATATGAATTTTATGTACACTGCAATCAAATAACGATGTAAAATAACGCTTGACACCGTAGACATTTCTTAAATATAGAAATGAAGGATACGATTTGTTAAAAACCGTATCAATTTTGCGCCCCAACATCATTTCAGGGGAGGAAATTATAATATATTTCGATGACCACTGTCGTGCCGGATGAAATACAGACAGTAGAAAGAAAGTGGAGAATCCCATTGAACAAATACTGAACGATAAAATTGCGTCACCGACTAGTTAATAAACCAATTAACGCCTGTTTCTCCTTTTCTTTCTTCCGCACCGTCTCTAAATTCCGTTGTTTCCACGAGCTCTTTCGCAGCTTTATGGGACGTGAACCCACGTAGCGTCCTGAAAGAAAACAATTTCATTAGATTGAGGTTTTCCTTACAGGAAAGGTATAATGGCCTCTTGCTTTCTTTTTTCCCTCCCTTCTATTTCCTTTTAATCTAGAGATCTAGAGATATAAAGGATCTAGATCGTCTAATACTAATAATATGTATTATATACGTAAAAAAACTACATATTATATATAATAATAATGTACGCCCGGTGAAATGATTTAAAAATTTGATTTAAAATTTTGCTTTCTTTCGTTCATTTAACTCTTGTTTGAAAAGAAACGAAACAGTTCCTTAACGAAGAATCTTAATCTTCGAGCACACATTTACATGACAGCTTTTCACTCATAGAATCTAGCCTTAGATTCTAATTTGAAGTTCTACCGGGAAAAATAGGAACAGTACCCTCTACAGTGATATTCACCCTTTCGTGAAGATTTTCACGAATAGCAGAGGGTTCCTAATATGTTTCTTGTGAAAGCCACTTAAAGTCTATGGTTTATTTGCACTGTTCCCGGATCTTAGATATCGACTTCTTTTTGTGTGGGGTTCCGTGCAACTCAACCATGTCATAACCTCAAAGAGCAAGGAAATGTTGTTCGTCGAAAACTCTCGAATTTCGAGAATTCGAGACTCTGCGCCTTTCTCACGATTGGAAATTCCGATAAAAAAAAATTAGAGGGCCAATGAATAAAGCAGAAAATCATTTTCAGAAAATCAGTGAATAAAGAATGTTCGAGAGATACTTCGCAAACATTCAATGATCGTGTTTTTAAGACTGCAAGCAAATGTGTGATTCTGGAAGGATAATTGTGAGATACTCTAAAGAATCAGTAAAAAAAAAATCTTATTGGACGATTATCAACGGCACATTCTGAAGGAATTTTTCATTTACATTCGGCACTATAATCAAAAAGTATCCAGAAAGAGTTCAGACGTTAGCATTCTTAAACTTATTAAGAATCTGAATTTTCGATATTTTGTAATGCTTTTTGTTTGACTGTGGCCAACAAAGATTTATGTGAAAGTATTAACTAATTCAGTTCTTGAAACACGGAATTCCTCTCACGGAATAAAAACCAGCACTTCAAGTTTCGAAAGTTTCGAAAGTTTCGATCCCTTAAAAAGTTTCGGATTCGAATTCCGAGAATTTGAAATCCCTACCTTACCAACACCCCTTAGATAACTTAGATATTACTAAAAAAATAGCCAGATAAATAATAAGCAAGTTATTTCACTGTCAGTCGATGTACAGAAGTTCGTTTTGAAACAGACGAATTCTGATTTCAATAGAATCTAGCATTCGAACAGTGTGAAATATGCACGAGGTTATTTGGAACACAAATATAGGGAAGGGGAAGGGAAACCGGAAGCGAAAATCAGCTTTTAAAATGCCGGAAACAGGAAGCGGCGGAAGTGCAGTAAGTGAATTGGATTTATTGAGAAGTTAATATCGCTATCGAGACAGCGAGTTATCGATTACTTTGAAATTAAATCTCTTGGCAATTACATACTTCCTAAGAAGAAATAACAACCGAAATCGTCGAGCAACGAGTCAACGTTCCTCGCAACGAAGAATATATATTTTGTTCTAAAAATTCTACAGATAGAGTAGAATAATATTGAATAACATAATCAATTGTTATCGACTCTAAAGTGAAAAAGCTAACAGAGATATTTTATTGGAATTTGTAGAATACCGCGCGGACCGTGTATGTTGATGAGAACATAAATTCATCAAATGAGAGTAGCTGGAAACATTAATTAATCAAAGGTACAAGAAGAAAGAAAAATGCGCAACACTGAAATTAAAATTTCATTTTCTCACAAGAAAATAATTAATCTCGAATATTCGCTGTAATACGAGGAGAATAAATTTCAAACCAAACGTTGCTTTCAAGATATATCTTATTGTTGGTAAAAATAAGTTAATCGTATCTTAAGAAAATTTAGGTTAGGTTTAGGTTAGGTTCTACTAATAACGTAACATTCGAGTTGTACAATGTTTTCTATAGATCAAGTGCACAAAGGGTAGATTTTATCGTCCTTGATTTTTAATAGCCTTTTAACAGTCTGTAAAATGTATACCTCGTCTAAAATAAAAGAAACAAAGATAATGTATTCTATAGAAAAATGTTAGATTCTTTCCAGTTTTATTATAATTCTTTTTCTTTTTTTATTTTCACAGACTCGAAAATTGTAGAATCGAAAAGAATTCTTTCTTTTCTTTTTTTTTAATCATTGAAGCAAAAAATTGGTGAAACTCAGTTTAGAATTTTTATTGCTTATTTTCATGCACGAAAGGGGTGACTATTCTGTCGTTCGTGGGTGTTTCTGGGAAATTTTTTTTCGAACGACAAAGCTAAAAGAGTTATTAGCACGCAAATTAAAACAATCCTTGTGAACGACAGCTCTGCAAAGAGTTTAATTATAAATTAAATTAACCAAAAGTAATTAGGAAAAATTTCTTCTAAACTTCAAACTTCTGTATGAATAAACGTGGAAAAGCGATTTCCTTCGAAAATAGACGATTTTACGTTATATTTTTGTCGAGCATCTTTTTTAATAAGATAATATTTCAGGTAATTTTAAGAAATTTTACGAAAGCAATAAAGAATCGTAAGCTACGCGATAATACGAATTATCCACTGGGGTTTTTCAAGCAAATTTTCCTCTTTTGATTCGTAATTCTATTTTTGCTCTTTTAATTTTCCACACTCGCACAACAGAGAAAAATCACACTTTTCTCGTGAGAATGAACGCCCTTCCTTGGCAAAACTAGAATTTCTTCAATTTCTAATTTTTTTCCTAAAAATTCTGTAACTTTCGATTATTTGCGTAACATTTAACAAATAATCCTGTTACGGGAATTCTACTTATCACTTGCAATTAATTTAAGAAGGAAATCAATATAAAGTCCTGATGCTGTTGGAAACTCGGTAATTATTAATACAAAACAATACTGATTTTCGCTCGACTTTTATTCCCCTAAATGCACAATGGCCTTTACGCGAGAAATGATCAAACAATTGCTTCGCAACACCATGCAACTTATCAAATACAAAAGCAAGTGGAAATAAACGGAAATGAATGAGAGATTCCGTGAAGAATATAACTAATCCCTCGTTAAATTAAATCCTTCTTAAACTGTAAATAAACTTCTTGGCAGAAATTGAAATGTGGTGACACAATGTGTAACGTTATAATGTGTACTATACTGTAACTTTGAATTTTAAAATTTTTCTCTAAGACGAATATTTTAAGTTTTTTTTTGAATATTATTCTTTTTCTTCTTTCTCCCAGTGATATTTTCAAAGAAAAATCAAAATCCATAACGAGGCAAACACGTGAATTTGAAAATCTCCTCACTCGAACAGCAGAGACAGAGTGAAGATCAAAATTGTAATATTATAATTTATAATTATAATTATAGATAATTTATAATATATTAAATTACAATTTATAATTATTTATTCTAATAATAATATAATTATAGATATTTATTTTGACGGCAGCAACAAAGGCGAAGTCATTGATCAGCTGTGTAATTTTACTCAGAGAGAGAGACTGCAAGGTTACACCTGGGGCTGCGATTCGAGAATCGAGTCAAACCAGGTACCTCAAACAGACTCCGCTCGTATATCCGTTCAAACAGTCATCATTTCCACGACTTGACCTCTTTGCACTTCGACCACACGAGGATCATTAATT